TTGTGTAGAGAAGCCCACTGATGAACCACCACTTCCTCATAGAAAAATGCTCTGTAAGTCCTGGTAATGTTGTAAAGCTTATGATTTATTATTCATATTAGTAACTGTATAAAATAAATATAATTTCTGCTTACTTTGTTTTCATTTTCTTTGCAATCACACCTTTAATTTTTTTTTTCATCTAGCTACGTACAATGTAAGATGTTACTTTCTGCAACCTTACATATCAGTACTATTACATATCTGGGATTTGAGGCAACTCTTACTTCAGTTAGAATATTTATGAAAACATGAATAATACATCCCCTCTTACATAATGTGATTTTTTCATAGCACAGAAACCCCAGTGGTGATGCTCTTTGGAATGGGTGTGAAGCTGTAAAGCCGCTGAAACCAACTATTTAACAGTCTGACAGAGATCAACCAAAATGCACCAGATTATAGAACTGCTCACTCGTCTCTTGTCCTATGATCCCTCTGTCATACAAAACTGGAAAACTTGTTCTTCACATTTTTCAAATGATGTGCTATTGGTCTGTTTGAAGGGCTCCTCAAACTCCTTGCTATACTTAGCATGGTCAAAGATACAACAGCTGCTGAAAAAACCATTTCCAGTTATGATTGTACATTGGATTAGTCCTGAGTGTGTTCTTGAAACTGGCTGGCTGTAGTATCTGGGAGCTTGTATTGTGATACATGATTAACAACAGCTAATTAACTCCTATGTATTGCAAACACATTCCAGACCCTAATTTCAGATATTCAATGTGTTGTGCATCTCAATATTGAAAGAATTGGTTTGGATGAGACAGTTCTATGCTATAAAATAAACAACACTTTTGTGAGAGACACTGAGCAGAGATTCATATTAAGATTCTTCAGGAGTCTATGTAAAAACTCAATCCTGCATGGACTTGTACCATACTAGAATTCAGGTAGGAGATCAATGCTTGAATGCTAAACCCTGTCAGAAATATGTGGGCTAGAAAACAGTAAGAAGAGAAGGTAATGTTTCTCTGCCAATGCCATCTGTTCATAGGGTGGGCACTATATACCTGGCATAGTAGGAAGCCATGGAATCCTCAACTGCATTCTAAAGTGGTACAGTCCAGGTGAGCTGAGGCTCAGCATCTGTGTACGCACTGCAGAGCTGCAGTATAAAGAAGGCTCTTCATTTCCACACTTACACGTCTGTGTAATGTGATTTGCATTCTGTAAACTTTCAGCACAGAAGCAGCCCTCAGGCACATGGCAGGGGAGAGCTTATTTTAACCCTGGATCTACATAATTTGAAGCATTTGATAGCTCCAGAAGTTTCATTTTACTACAATTTGTTAAAGCATCCAACAATACCCAACATTTAGTGAAGCAGAGAAGCCACTTAATGTACCAACTGAACGAAATACACATCACATGACTCAGTGAACAGAATACTCTGACAGCCATGTGATTTGCTTTTCCTCTGTTTCTCTATGGAGAATTTTCAGTGGCATTTTTAGTGCAATTCTATGCAGGTTAAGACAGGAAAAAAGATCCCCCCCCCTAGTTGTCTGGGGCATGCTGGGAGTCATAGGCCATTTTCTGTCTAAACTTGCACACAATTGCATCATAAGGCTGTAATTGTATACTCACTTACCTAGCAGTAAGCTCCACTGAGTTCAGTGAGACTTATTTGCAATTAAGTTGCATAGGATTGCAACAACAATGGCGTTTTTATGTGCGCAATCATTAGCGTGCATGACATACCTGCGAAACTAACATGAACAAATGGAACGGAAAACAGTTAAATGAAAGCTGCACAGCAGTCATTACAGAGTACAAAAATCCACACTAAAAGAACCAGGAGAAGTTGACCTTTCTTTCAGGACCAATTCATGATCAGAGGCAAATCATTCAGAAACCCAAAATCTCAGTTAAAATTTGGAGAGGGAATTTGGGTTGCACTTGCACAACCTATGTTGTCTAGAAATACTCCTCTCAAGGAAGTAATACATCTTTTTTATGCCAATGACCATCATCATCATATAAACTGATATATGTGAACATTTTCAGATCGATGCAATGCCACACTTGACATTATGAACCTGTTTAGCCCCCTAATATATATTCCAATGGCTATCAATATTCTTGATACTACAGTACATTTCTAATACATGACAAAGACTATCTAACAGATCTTTCAAATGGGTCCATCGACCATTGAGGAAAGAGATGTATTGACTAATTTCTGTCAAAAATAAATCTGCATTCTGCACAAAAATATTATTGAAAACCTGTTGACTAGCCATGCTGCAGAATGCTATTTGATTTCACATGTAAATGTGCAATATTAGAAAATGTACAATTTTATTTTGTTTAAATACAGGCATGGTGTCAAGAGACGAGTTCTCAGTTCTGAGTCCATTGTCATCATGGTTACTTCGTGGTTAATAGTAAAGTTAATAATAAATGTATTGCCTTAGAAATCTGTAATACCATCCCTGCCCCCTCTCCATAACTATTGTGAGGAATGCTTTCAAAAAAAGATTTGATAAAATAGTACTTTTGACAAATAAAGTACCTTACAGTACAGTCCTAGAACTCCCATTCTGTTCAATGGAGCCTATTCACAACTGAGTGGGAATAGAAGTATAAAGATGCTCAAAATATAAAGAAACCATAGGAATCAGATATTTTTCTATAGCCAAGAACACTGTCCCTACTCAAGTCTTACTTTCCTTAGACTATGGATTGGATCCTGAGAAAGACATTGATCTTTGCTCTCCTGGTTCATCCCGTCTTCTACAGCATGCTGTGACTCTGCCCTTTATTCAGAGCTTTGCACATTTGCAGTTTTCAAGCTGTCTTTCCTTCCTTTAAAGATCACCAATGAATATTAGCACGTTTTATTTCAGAGTTTGGGTTTAAGGAATCTTAATATGATGGCATGATCACATCAAAGTTTCCTTTTGCATTGTGTTTTAATTGGCACGTGTTCATGTACATATCCTTTTCCATTGTCTTCCCCTCTTCTTTTATTGATAAATCACTTACAGGGGTATTAACAGAGGCACCTACCATTACTTCGTGTTCTGTGGCTATTGCATGTCTGTGCACGCTTGGAACACTTCTCAGTCCTGCATCAGTATCCTGTCCCATTCCAACACTTTTCTATGAAAGCAGTCAGATCATTATCAATTAGCTATGTATCTCTCAAGAAGTAGAGGAAATGCTATGTGTATCATAGCATTGTAACATAGCATAGTATTATGTTTTCTCACATGCAAAACTGTATTCCAGAAAGAAGAATGAAATTGATGTTTTTATTGAAAATGGGATGTAGTTGTTCCAGTCCAGGTATGTCATGATTAAGACTGAAATCCTAGACTCTTTTTCCAGAAGTAAGTCCCATTGAACTCAGTGGTACTTACCTTTTAGTAGGTGTGCATAGGATTGTATTTTAAGTCACAACAGGCCTTATTCGTGATTAACGTCTGAGAATAGTTTCTATAGGACTTAGTCATAGTTAATTCTTTCTTGGATCTGGACCTCAAGTCTTCTAGGCAGCTTCATCCACTATGTTGAATATATTCCTTTTTATTTTCTATTAGGGATATCATACATAGACAGTATTTATACAGAATTGTGCCATCACAGTACTGCTGACAATTTAGGGTATGCCCCATAATCCCAAGAGCAGGCAATCACGGAATCACAATTAAGAATGTTGGTGTAGTTGATCCTATTTTTCTGATACAGTGATTGCTTGTGGATATGGGAACTTTGATATGCAAAGTGCACCTTTGCTCACAAGGGTTTCCTCACTCACTTCAGTGAAGGGACAGCTTCACAGGCACAAAAGGATGTCTATATGGAACTGTGTTGCCTCCATGAAAAGGAATGGGAAAACTCACGTAAGAGAGTCATGTGCAAATTGGAGTATACAGGGAGCACTGAAACAGGGCACAGAATACAGAAATACGCCCCCTTCCTTAGTTGGTATCTAAGGATTTAATCATATCCTTCAAGATACAGGTGTTTATTTCTCACATGTGTAACTAAGAAAGAAATATTAAATATTTAAATGTTTCATTTATAAAGACAATAATATTTTAAAAGCTATCATGAAACAAGCTGCTATATTTAATACATTTTGTGTGTTTCTGTCCAGCAGTTCAAATATAGATAACTGCCCTGAGTAGATGCTAAATGCTGCTTAGCAAAATGGCCTTTAGAATTTAAAACAAAACAAAGAACACCCCCATAAAGTTACTCAGAGTAATGCAAAACATCTCAGGCATATTTAGCTTGTATGAAGAAGAAACTAGGGTCCACTCTTTAATTATTCATACACACATTTCTACTGCATACATAATAAAACCAGGAATGATGTTCAGAATATTTACTGTGCTTGTTGGAATGTTATGGGATTATTGAGCAGATTTTGCTGAAAGGCATCATTTTAAACAGTGAAACAATTCTCATATGACCAACTTCATAAAACACTGTTGCTTTAAGTTATGTTCACATCTTTGTTTTTAACTGCTCAGAAACCACATGGAATAGTAGTTAAGAAAAGATCAATGAAATTCAGACCTGCATACCTCAGTCATTATTCTATGGTCTGTTTTAAAGTGATGCAATTATGTAAACTTTATCTTGAGAAGGTTTCTGCTTTGAGTATCCTTACATTCCTTAACTTAATCCTAGCAATCATCAAGCTATTGCATGCCCCATTCATGAAAAATATGCTTTGTTGGAGTGATGTAGCTTAAACAGTTACATTTCAAACACTTCCTTACCTAGAGCTTCCTTTAAATTATATTAATTTAAAATATCTACGAATGGCATTTTTTAAAAAAAATAACCAAAACAAATTAATGGGTTGGGTTTATGAAAATGACTCTTTACAGTAAGTAAAAAAGATTTATCACAGTTTTGGTAACTTGCATGAGTTCATACTGAAACAAAATCCTTCACATGTTCTTTATGGATTGGACATTGTTGTGCTCTAGGTACATTCACTGGTATGACCTGAAGCAGTAGACACCATAGAGCTTGTGCTTTTTATCTGGAAAGCCCACGAAGCGTACAGCTGCTTCATTAGGACTACAGCGTTTCCTTGGCTTGGAGATGGGGTACCGGACACTGCCATCAGCCAGCCAGCCAGCATCACAGCGGTCGTATCCCAGGAGTTTCCAGGCTGCAAATATTTGGCCTACTTTAGCAATCTGTGCACCATCTTTAAGGCAGGCTTGCACTGCTTCATCATAGGTCAGCTTGGTTGGGTGTATTAGATAATAAAAACGGCCTGATGAAAAGCAGAGAAAATAATATCAAGGGAATGAAAGATGAGCAAAATACAAACCAAACATTTCACTGAATCATAATTTATTAAAGGAATGGCTATTGTATAATTATAAGTTAAAAGTCCTTAAAAAAGGATTATTACATTTTTGCTCTCCTCTGTTAACTGTCATTGTATAATTGTTTTTGCCTAAGATAAGTCCTTTTACTGAGGGTGAAAAACTGTGTGTTTGAGGGATAGGGAGAAAGTGGGAGATAGAAGCATTGTCAGTAATGATTCTTATTAATTGTCATATTGCATTGCCTTTTGAGACTGTGTGGGCTTGTATTTATTCCTAGTGGCAAGCCTTTATTATTTATTACAATTTTAAAATTTCTTAGATGACTTCCTGAAAAAAAGAATTTAAAAAAGAATCAAAGTAACTTACAGCAACATTAAAACATACACGATTTAGAGGAGCTAAAAGATGTTCTTTATTGTACTAAAGTACAACTACCCAATAAAACAAATATGACATCAGTGACTCAACTCAGCTCATCTGGTACATTAAAAGAGCCCATTATGTGCAATCAAATGCATGGGAACAGAAGCAAGCCTTGACCTGGCACTCAAAAGATGACAATGTCCATAAACTGAGTCCAATCGGAAAGCCCTATTCCTTGCTGCCATGCTCTAAACTTCTTCAGAAGAAACACTAGAGGTGGGCTTAAGTGTTAATCATATGGTATATAAGGCTTTAGAGATTAACAGTGCACCTTAAATTTGACTTGGAAATATAAGGGCGACTAGTACACATAGGACAGAGTTGGTATTGTATGCTCAGAACTTCTGATCCCTGTTGTTAATGTGGCTACAACATTTTACAAAGCTGCAGTCTCTGTACCATATTTGAAAGCAGAACAAAATAGAGCATAGTGCAATAATCTAACCTGGATGTTACCAGAGCACAGATTGATGAAACCAGTTTATCCTTGTCCAGATAAGAGCATAGCTGGGCAATTAGCTGAAGTTGGTAGAAGGCTCTCCACACCACTGAACCTCAAAAGATGGCGACAGATTCAGAAGAACCACCTAGCTATGAACCTGCTTCTTTAGGGGGAATGCAATATTTCCAAAACAGGCTTAACACCATTCATCCAGTCAGGAGAATCTCCTTCTCTATGGCTGGTTGAAAAAAAATCAAGTCAAGAGTGCATTCTGCATTTGATATTATGGGACTGTCACATGATTGCCAGGGCAGCAATGGAATTATCAGCTGCCCCAGATAAGTTGACCTTGGTGTAAATGTTGATAAGGTTGGGGGGGGCTTCGTATTTCATCCAGGTCCACTTCTGTCAGCTCAGCTAGGCATCTGGCAATCCACAAAGCAGACCAGATGATTCATAAAATCCAGATGGAATGGACTCCATAAAGTCCATACATCCCTTGTACAAACTTAGAAGTGCTGCTGTACTTAGTAGGCTTTCCGTCATGGGTATCATTGTTTGCTGCTTTTCAGAGATAAATAGTCTGGGAAATGGGTCAATTAAAAAAATTGCGATGCTAAGTTAGCATTTTATTACATAACACATGTGCGTGAACATACAATGCACATGAGACAATCCAATTTTCATGATAATTAGCTGAAGGCTGGAGAGCCTTTCTGGATCTGATGGTGTTTATTTATTCCCTTTCCACAATTTGTACAAAACTTCTTAAATGTCATATGATTTATCTGAATAAATTTAACCAAACACTTACGGAACAATTTATCTGGTTCGGGTAAACATTTGCACAATATTTTAAAACCTCTCTGTTTTGGAATTGCAAACTCAAGACTGCCCAAAGCAAAAGAAATGTTTATTTTTGCATGTTTTAAGGCAAATAAATTTCATTGTGAATAATGCCTGGAGTACACATAAGCAAAGAATGGAAGCATCTCTTAGTGTGCTTTGCAACACGCATACAAGTTAAAATGCATGTGAGAGGCCCACATCTGAGTCACAGAAAACAGTCCAAGTTGTTGCTTAACAGATAAATCTGTCTTAACTTTCTGTCTTGTATAGAGCACTGATTTTCAGGAATCACAGCAGTTCACTTAATTGATGGCATGGTATTATTTCATTCTGCTTGTTGCTTTCTCTTTTGTGGCCTCACCCCAGAATTCTGATCAGCACTGGGGTCAACCTACTTCTCAGTTGTGCTGCAATCAGGGTAACCATGTGTCCACTATAGAAAGGGATGTGGGGAAAAAGTCTAAAAAGTCCCAGTGTAGTAGTAGTAGAAGTGATGATGATGATGATGATAATTGCCCTACATGTTTCAGAAATCAGGGGCTGAGATTGGGTTTTTTTGTTTGTTATTCTTTCCTATATGTGCTTTCCCTTCCCATCTGATAATCTCTTTTACAGAAAACTATCTGCTATGTTCTAGAAGATAGAAGGTGCTAGAGGACTGTCCTCTGTTTGAAGGTCTCAACGAAGGAGGAACAGCTGAGCCTTGAAGTTGCCCATCAACTGCACCTGGAGAGTGGACTGAGTAAGCCATGCTTGGCAAGTCTTACATATTATGATGAGATGTACTGTATTTCTGTATAAATTATAATGAACATTTTAAAATGTGCATCCATACTTATAATTCAGTACTTGGGAACTATGTAAATCAGTGTCTTCTGTTCTCTTTTTCTGAAGATGCACTTCCCCTTGCTGTGCAAATTTGTAAACAACCATCCTAAAGAGGAATGACTTCAGAGGATACAGCCAAGAGCATTTGCAGGCTGCTCTACCCCATCACCCACTACTATGTACTACTAGAAATGTAAGTGTTCAATGGAAGTAGTTCTACGAGTATATTCCATTGTGTGGGGTTAGCTCTTATTACAGAAAAATTCTCTCTGAAATGATCTGATGGAAAGTTGGAGGATAGCAACAAGAGTTAAAGTGGTGGCAACTTTTCTGCTGATTGTAACTAAAGAACTATCCGAAAGACCATCTTCTCCCATATGAATCTGCCTGTATGCTGAGGTCCTCCTCACAGGCAACAACAGGCAGGGACTTTTATTGTGGTGGCATTCAAAATGTGGAATGCTGCTCCAGAGACACCTGTTTTCTGCACTCCATTTTCTAGGTCTTTGTTAACACAAGCTTTCAATGGGAGGCAGTTCAGAAATTATTTATATACTCCCTTTCCCTAAGCTTTAATTATGCTATTTTAATCTTTTTATGTAAGTTGTGTTTTGCTTTGCTTTATATCTCATTCATTAATTGCGTTTATAAATCTAGTAACAGCTTCCTGCAGTAGTTTTGGTTGAAAAATTTTCTTTTAAATAAGCTACACATGAAGCTGCCTTATAGCAGGTCAGACTATTTTTTTTTCTACACAGTACTGTATACTCTGATGGGCAGCAGTTCTTCAGCATCAGGTATCTCTCATCACCTGCTTCCTGCTTCTTTTAATGGGAGTCACTTAAACTTAGGATCTTCAGCATGAAAAGCAAGTGCTCTGAACTATGATTCTTTCCTAAATAAGTAACAAATAGCATTGAATTGTTATCCCCCCACCCCCACCAGCAAGCACCTACAGATCCTTTTAAAAAGTAAGAATTCCTTACCATTAAAATGGGATGTAAAACAGAAGACATCGTATCTGCTTTGATCTTTATTTGAGAAGCCATAATTCCGGACTCCAGGCACCATGTTCTTCCCACCACAAGGCTCCCTGGGTTTTGTGATGGGATATTGGACAGACCCATCACTGAGCCAGCCTGCATTGCACCAGTCTAGACCTGATCTCCATGCTTCATACAGCTGGTCAAATGAAGCTATAACCGCATCCTGGTCCAGGCAGGCTTGCTGTGCATCATAGAAGTTTAAGTTGTAGCGACCCAGTCGTGGAAAGTAAGGAAAGACAATGCCTAAAAGAATGCAAGAGTAATACATTTAAATACATTTGCAAAATTGTGTTGTGCATACACATGCATTTAGTTGGAAGAGAGGGAAGGAACATTTGATGGCAGAGGAAAGAGGGAGGTTATTTGTATGTAATGCCAAAATAGCAATCTGTTAAATTTTATGTCTGCAGTAGAGGCTGTCAGCAAGTCAGCTATTTAGTCTGAGAATTTTGCATGACTAGTCTCCTCAGACAGCAGCCCTTTGTAACAGACAGAATCACAACCTTTCCCCATAGAATGCTCCCCATTCTGTACTCTTTTCTCAGTATTTTCAATGATTATTAATATCACCCTCATGGTTTGGTTCTGATCATTACACTAGAAGCACATCTGCACCAAATAACCTAGGAAGTGCTGAGAAGAGCAAGGAAAACAACTAGGACTTGGTCTACTCAGCTTAAACACAAATATAGTTTGAGAACTGGACAAACCTCTTCTTTGGTGTGGGCATTAATTAATACCAATAAAGTATGACATTTAAATTCAGTTGTATTTTTATGGCTGCAATCCTATTGCAACTTACCTTGCCACAAGCCCCAATGAACTCAACAGGACTTACTTCTGAATAAGAATGCATACGATTGAGCTGTGAGTGATATTCACAGAGCAAGAAATATATCAGTGATTACTAGCACTGACAGCTACATGAAACTTACACCTTTTGGTTTGAGCCTTGTCTGTTCTGTTTTTATGTTTCTGATCTGTTTTTAATGTAATGTTGTATGCTTTTATAATATTACATTTGTGATATATTTTTGTTGCTGTATGTTTTGTTTACTACCTTGCTATTATTGGATTCAGATTTATGCTGAATCAATCGCACTGCTGGAAGGAGACTTTCTTGCCTACTCCATCCCACAGCAGCCCCTCCATCCAGCTGCAAATTCTACACAGAAAGCCAGTTTGCTTGATCTGAACAAGCTTGTTTAAGTCACAGTGGTTGGTTTAATCTCTGTTTCACTAATTCACTAATTATGCACCTGGGTTTGGTTTATAATGTCAACAAAACCCAGTAACATGGCTTATTTGCAGGGGAAACAGCCTTCAAATAATGGGGATTAGGATTTTAAACCCGATGGGCCAGAGAATCAGGACAACCTGCTGCCTGGATTGAGCTATACTGTGTGTGCGTAGGACGATCTTCAAAAATCAGATTGCACCATCTGCCCATGCAGAAGCCTTCTTCTCACACAAAGCAGCTTCTGCTTTGCTGAGGGCAAACAATGGATTTGGGGTGTTGTATTCTTGCCCTGCTTTTGGATTTGGGGAGGAACAGATGAACTACATTTGGATACAAGGTTTCAGATTAGATGGAGCTTTGACATGATTCAGAAGAGCCCTTTTTATGCTTTTATAGTTTCCATACTAAAACAAATCAATGCAAGTTCCAGGTTCCTCTCTCAGTAAGCCTGCCTTCTCAGTACCATTTGCATTAGCTGCTTTGGCTCCTTTTTCTCTTGCTTGCTTGCTTGCTTTACAGGCAGAGAGCCAGTGAGTAAGTAGGCAGTACTATCTACTGCTTGTTTGCTTGAGTGGTATCTACTGCTGCTCCTTTCCACCACATCTGCTGTCTGAGTGAAAGTCAGTTGAACAAGCGGGCTGCAATGGTGAAAAGGAGAAACAGGTCCAGGAATCTGTTATCAGGTGACTGTTGCCAGGATATGGGCTCTCAGTTGGTGTCCAGGTGTACCCTATCTGGACAGGGATAGCCAGGTTTCAATAATCCATGCACTGGTAATCTCTAAACTAAATTAACTGCAATGCACTCTTCATTGGACTGTCTGTGAAGACTGTTCAGAAGCTGTAGCTTGTTCAAACTGTGGGAGCCAGGGACTAGATGGTCTGAACATATAAGGTCAGTGTTAGTCAACTGCAGGGGCTGCCTATTGCTCCCTGTAAATATGCTGGTTTTTACCTGTAAAGCCTTGCATGAACTGGAACCACAATATCTTACCAAACACCTCTCCCAAGTGCAATCTACCAGAACAGTTTGATCAAGGTCTGGGGCCTGCCTCCCACTGCTACCTCCAAGGGAGCTTCCATTGGTGGTAGCAAGAAAAGGCCTTTTCAGTGGTTGCTTCAAGTGAAGAAGAGGCCTACCTGGCACCAATTCTAATAACTTTTTGGTGCCAAAAGATATTAAAGATATATTAAGACTATCCTCTACCACTGGACATTTTATTAATTTACTATCCTATTGAGCTTATGTTAGCTGCTTAAGCAAATCTATTGGTCTAATTTGTATGGTCTTTTAAATACCTATAGCCTTTTAAATGTGATTTTCAAATTTTGTAAGCAGTTTTTATTGTTGTTTGTATTTTATATTGCATTTTATGTGTTGTAAACTATCCAGACAGTTTTGACTATTACTAAGGTCATCAGAGTTAAAAGACACATTTTAACCAAAACTGTGCCTCAGTTCTAAGCTGTACAGAAGGTCTTAATATTTACACAGTAACTGTTAAAATTTTGTGCTTACATTTTTAAATATAATACAACAACACAGTTCATTTCCAGGGGTAAAACCAAACTGGCTTCTTTCCCAAACAAACAGGTTTGCAGCAATTCAGTGGAAAATGCTCCGCGCACACACACTATTTCTTTTCCAACTGAAAATTCAGTACCAATTAAAATTAGAGTATATGTCTTAGACTCAACCATTTAATATAAAAAACCTACCCGTTAACTGAAGGCAGTTAATATTAGTGCTATGAGTATTTGTTCATTTACAAAATGTGTATCTCACATCCTGTGCCAAGAATGTGGCATCTGAAGTGATAAACAGCACAAAACAAACGCTAAGGGCACTAAACACAATCCTGTGTGTGTTTAGACAGGGTTAGCAAACGTGCTATCCTTTAGTTTTGCTTTACAGGATACAAGAGAGCAGGTATTAAATGTACCACACCACAAAGCAACAGTAAAACCAGCAGGCTCAGTGCATCCTCCATTTAACACATTAGCTCTTCACATACATGGCAGGAAAAGTTAAGTGGAAAGTTAATGCAGCAGTGTCCCAGAGTTGGGCAGCTCCATTCTACATGGTTTGGCTATATGCTATTGAACACTATGAAGCATACTCACTTTCTTATCTAGTAACATAACAGAAATGAAAAGTTAGAATAGCAGAGTCTGGTGGCACCTTAAAGATTAACAACTTGGATAAGGCATAAGTTATCATGGACTGGAGCCCATTTCATCTTATATAAAGAAAATAACCTTCTATCCAGTGCTGTTTTTCTAGTGAGGGTTACCCCTTCAAACTTCTCTTTGTTTCATCAGTCAATAGCAACTGGAGTACCCAAATTTGACAGGATCCAGAAATATAACTTAGTTTGGGTTGCATTTTGGAATTTTACAGCTAAAGTAGGACCATGGTGGATAACAGACATAATAAATTTAAGTTCAACAGCATAGGTATGAAAAAAATAAGTCAGCAGTTCAGAAATAGCGATAGAAGGCAGTAAAAACATAAGGGATTATAAAACTAAAATTAGGTATTTCAAGACAGTGTCTTTCCTCTCTACACATTAACATCTCTATGGTTTCAAACATGCACATTAAATAAATATGACAAAAATGTGTATAACTTTCATATACAAGATTTCCAGGGTTAGGCCTAGAAGAAATGCTAAAATGGCCATTCAAGTGCTGAGCTTCTTTGAGCACTCACCTCCAATTATGCAACTTCTGAATACCTTACTTTTCAGCATTTCACAACTTTGATGCATGACTGATCTCAGCCATATAAAACTGTAAATGTACACTCATGAATCTGGATCACAGTAGCTCACCATCATTTACATGCACAATATTTGCAACTTAAGCAATCATGATGTTTTAAATTTCTCTTTAAATACACCAATGAATAAACAGCAAGACAGTCTTTCCAGTTTTACAAGTGAAGATGAAATGTTTATAGTATTTTTATTTTAGTAGATGAATTCAGCTGCAATCTTGTTGATCTTGGGAAGCTAACCAAGGGTCATAAAATTCACTCAATCTTCTCCTCTGCAGAAATGTCCATGGTAGATCTTTTCCAATGCAAGAACTAGGGGGTGGGGGCATGGAGGTATGCTGGGACTGGATCATGGGATCACCTTGGGAAATAGTTGTCTGCAAGACTTAAAAATAATTGGAAGCCTTGATATCGAGCTGTGCACAAGGCCTTTGGTATCAACTAAACTCTCTGCTGTAGGAGGAGGGATTGCCATGTAAGAAGCAGGGCATATTAAAGAATAATATTCTTCATATTAAAGAAGAAGCAGCTGTGCTGGAAAAGCATTACAGTCTGGGTAACAGCCTTGTGGAGCAAGTGTCAAAGGGGCTGTAATCCTAAATACGCTACTTGGTGGTAAGCAGCATTGAACTCAATGAGGTTTCGAACCAAATCAGATTTGATATTAATGGTTGTGGGAAGGGTAAAGTCTGTATCTTTTAAAATATGAGTGAAGGACTGTTATTTCTTAAGAAGCGTAGAATCTGTATTTTTTAGAATGAATAAAGGCCTGTTCTCATTATCTCAACCTCCCCACTAGATTTAAGAAACATTTTGGCGTCAAGTAAGAATTTTCAAGGCCACTTTGGCCTGTTGACCTCTTAGAAGGTACTGCGCAAGCGTAATAAGTTTATGAATAGTAAATGACACACCTCTCATAGGTAATAGGCTCATTAGCATGAACATGGGATGTATGAGCGGGAGGGGGGAACATGTTAAGGAGTAGTATGATGTAGGCGGATGGGGAAGATTGTGACTTCTTAGTAACCAGCCAATGGCGAAGTGGGGATAGTGTTGAGCATCGGGGAAAGAAATGTATAAAGTCTCTTGTAAACAGTAAAAGATTGCTCTTTGTTTCTCAGACTACTGAGGCATTGAGCCAGCCTTTGCAAACGCCTTTTGTATGGAATAAACTGCTTGTACCCACTCGAATCCTGTCTCAAGGAGTTGTAAATCTCACAATTGG